TTAAACAATGGGGGCATACAGAGAATGAAACTTTCAAATGAGGAAAGTTATTGATGCAAATATTTATTTTGAAAAATGACTAGACAATGAGAACATCAGATTACATCATTATGACCTTTGGGGAAGATGTATTCAGGAGAAGTAAATAGACTCACACTTATCTCTGATAACTTGCAAATTTGTTTGCAGTTGCCAGGGAAGCACTAAGATGCTCACTAATTAAAAATGAATCATCCCAGGGCAGGTTTCAGAACCTGGTGCACATACTGGTCTAAACTTGGAGCAAGGCTATTTTGAGCAACAGTGGCTAAAACTTAATGCCTGATAGGATTTGGATAATGACCTTTCTAATATTATTGTGATCTTTTAATTATTTTCCGAGAAAGAATAAGATACCAAGGGAAAAAGGACTTCTATTTTTAATGGCCTATATCCTGAAAGCATACCAGTAAATATAGAAAAGAAAGTGTTCCTCTATTGAAGCACTAATGAATGTTTTTCTTGATTTGATGCTGTTTTGGAAGACTATAAATATAATAAAAGGGCCTTATTATTAATGGTTTATATGCAGATTGTCTTAGCAAATGTCTCAGATCTTCCCAGCATAGAATTATAAAGAATATGCTTTTGCTTCTTCACCTCATTCACACTTGCAGCCCACTGTAGCTCTTCCCAATATCCTCCCCAGTTATTTCTGGAGTTTCTGCTCTCTCAATGTGCCATAGAATCTAGGCATAGGCTAGGCTTTGAAAGATACACTGAAGTATGGTCATAAGAAGTACCTTAAGATCAATTTATGACTCTAGGTAGGTCTCTTTGAAATGATTGATTCCATTATAAATACCAATGTGGTTTTGTATGTTCACCATTTATACAAGCATTACTGTACTATAAATATCAATGATCTTTAGTCATGTCATTCATTTCTATATTTTTCAGAAAAACCATGTTGCTGGTATTCATAATATCATGAACAACTCCACCACATTTTACAAGTAATGAACATTTGAGTTGCCTGCACACCCCCCTCTTCCTATGGATACCATGAACCTCCTTTCCAATAAACCTATGGACTCTACTTAGAACTTTCCAGGGTATGTGCCCAGGAGGATGATTATTAGGTTTAGAGCATTCTTAATTAATCACATTACCTACTCATAGGAGAATGGAAGGATGAACAAAAGTTTCCTAGAATAAAGGGTGCAGGAAAACATTGACAGAAACAAAAGGAACAGTGCTACTGCATGGTGGGATCTTGGCTTGTACTTCATCAGGGCCAGGAGAGAGATGAGCCTGGGATGTGGTGATGGGAAACCAGATTTTGAAAGGCCTCCTATATTCCTGTAATCAGCTAAGGGAAGGGATTTGGGTGCTGGTTTATATTGAGTTTTAAGTAAGACAGAGTTATTGTGAGATTTGCATATTAGATGTAATACGTGTGTGTTCTGCCTGCTTGTCACCCTGACAAAAACATGACCTCAAACTCCAGCAGCTCACACACTACAAGGGAGTGTGTCCTTTCCTAAAGAGGGATCAATAAGTTCTATCAATGTTCGCCATAGCCATAGTGTGCCTGGACAAATGCTGAGCAGGGCCAGCGTGGATGGGAATGCCTAACTCTCCAGTCCTGCTTGCTGAGATTTGGTTTCAGGAGAGGTGTCATGCCTCAGAGGGGATGAGTGGGGAAAGGTGTTTGCAAAAGGAAACAGGAAAGCAGTTCAGGAGAGGCTAGCCATTTGCGCTTAGTTCTTATAATCCAAGAAATGGTAATGGAGTCGTCAGCAGTGTGTGGTGAGGCTGTGAGGCAGACATTAGACCCAGTGGGCTTTAAAACCAAAACACTGCTATATGGGAAGAGGGCTATCTAAATCCTACGTGCACTCACTAGGAAAAAGGTATGTAATTCCAAAGGTTATGAAATTCTGCTTCCTGTCTTTCAGCTGTCCTTGCTCAGGATCCTTAGTTGCTGACTTCACTTCTGGCAACAATACAAAAGCTAAGGGGAGGAAAAGACAAAGACATCATGGGCCAGGTTCTCAGGGCATTGGGTTTTGTATCTTTTTCTGGTAATGTAAGTAGAGATGTCTGCTTTTGGGAATACTGCCTTCTAGGGCACAGTGTCCTCTGGTGGTTCTCTCCCTCTCCCTCTCCCTCTCCCTCTCCCTCTCTCTCTCTCTCTCTCTCTCTCTCCATGTCATCCTTCTTAGAGGACGTTTTCCAACGTCAGTCTCTGGGACAATACTTTCTAAATATTCCTTCCTGAGATCTTTAGAATGGGAACTGTCTACAAGGTGTACCCTCAGCTCTTTTTATTTAGATGTCTCCCTTGGGCTACTCTTCAAGCTCAGTATGGCTCACATCCTTTCCCCACACTTCCACACTTCTCTACAGCAGCATTCCTTTCTAATTTTTCAACTGCTCTCCTGGAACCATGAGTTTCCTTGTTCCAACCTTGGAGTTACATAACTAACAGATGCCTCTCCACCGCTTCCAATTCAGCAGCCAACAAATCCTGGGGATTCTTTTTCAGAATCAAGATCTGGGTTCTTTCTTTGTTCACAGCTGCCACCAATGCTAAGACCTGAGATTCTTTTCTGTGCCATTATTGATGCCTCCTAAATGACTGATCATCACCAACGTTTCTCTACCAGGCATCCAGTCTACTCCTCAGATCCCTGTTATTGGTAATTTGATGCTATTACTCTAATGAACAGCACAGAGTGGTTCGTAAAATAATGAATCCGAAGTTTGAGTACAAAGTTGATTTTTTAACTGTTTTTTTATCTTTACTGTATTTGAATTATAGAATAAATAGGACCATACTTTCATATCTATAGGGATTATTCTAGGATCCCCCTTGAATACAGAATTGCTCAGATTTCAGATCCATGAGGTAAGATATTATTACATTTGCATGTAAACTACCCACATTCTTCCTTATACTTTAAATTATCTCTAGATTACTTTTAACACCAAGTACAATATAAATGTTATGTGAAAAGTTGCCATATTGTTTAGGAAAAATGATGACCACAACTCTTTGTGCTCATTACAGATAAAAAAGTTTTTTTGCATGTATTTTTCAATTCTATGCTGGGTAAGTCTGAGGATATGGAACCAGAAGAGGCAACTGTATGTTCTTTACTTAAAGAATTGCTGAATTAATGTGCTCTAGCTCACGACTGTCTGCCAGGCAGGAATATAGGTGTTATGCTATTTCTATTTATAAATATGAACAGATTTTTTTCTATTTCTTTAAGGCTATGTAGCCCAGAGGTAGAATATCAGTGCTTTAACAGAATCATGACTATTACAATAGAAAGGTATAGCAGCATAGGCAAACAAAGATACTATAAATATCTTGGGGGGACAAGTGGGACTAGGAAAGAATTTAGAGGTCATAAAAACATACCACAGTTCATTGGAGTCTGTCTTAGTTACTTTTTCTGTTACCACGATAAACAGTCTGATAAAAAAGCAACTTAACGGAGAAAGGGTTTTTTTTTTTTCCTCTGTTTCTTTAAATATAGGGTCTCATTGGGCAGGCCTCCCTGGCCTGAAACTTAATATATAGACCAAACTGGCCTTGAACTTGTAGAGACTAACCTGCCCGTGGCTGAAATTATAGGCATGCACCACCAAATTGAACCTCAGAGAAAGGGTTTACTCTGGCTCACAGTTCAAGGTTGCAATCCATCATGTTGGGAAAGGCACAGCAGTAGGTGTAGGTGGCATTGCCAGGAGGCAGGGTGATGGTGCATTCTGTTCTTGAGCTGTCCCTTCACACTTACACGGTCTATGTCTCCCCATCCCAACTAATCTAATATAATCCTTCATGGGCATACCCAGAGGCCTGGTCCCAAGGATTGATTCTGTCAAATTGAAAACACTGCTACCGTGGAACCTATTTTAGTATGGACCACATCCTTGATGTTTTGTCCTTTCCCATCAGCAAGGGACACCTCTCATAGCTCTTACACCTACGACTTTTTCAGGGGTTGCTATGACTCACTCTTAATTGCTTCTACCCTCTCCTTATCCTTCAAGGTCTTTCTTTGCTAAATCAAATTCTGCTTACTTCCAAGTTGACCCAAAGATTAATTACCCTCAATTTTTTTCTGGCTACTTCATCTTCTTTATCTCCTCCTCTCAGGACTTCCCAATCTCATTTCTTAAGCAGAAAGTTGGCACTACACTCCAGGAAATAGGTCTCCAAAGGTAAGTGTGTATTTAGATCATCTCATGTGCCATTCAGCAGCATTCGCTCAGGACTAACAGAATTCAGTGACGGGATCCTACATCTCCTGAACCACGTTGGAAAACGTAGTGTTAGACTTCTGGGCATTGCTTGTATTTCTGCAAAAGGTTTGTGTGCAGCCAACAGTGGCTAGCCAATGTTGCGAGTACTACCTACACTGCTGGACATTCTGACTCTCAGGTTGAACCAGTTTTGGGACTCCTAATAGACCCATCAAGTAGAATATTAATGATACCCAGCGTTAAGAACAGGGCTAGCTAAATGTTCAGAACACTCTCTAAAGGAGACCAAGTACTGAGGACTGGCTGACTTTGAAAGCTACCAGAAGCCCCAGAGGGAGTGACATTTTCTGTCCTCTGAGAAAACGCTCAGTCGTCACCCCAGATAACCCTAGTGCATCTCAAAGGCATTAGGCTTTGAGAGACTGCCAGATGGAAGCTCTGCCAGTTAAAAAGCTCTGAACAGGAGTCTAGGCCAAGTTACTACACCCAGGACCATCGTCTTTACCCTCACAGTTCTAAGGTGATGCGCCGTAAGCAGGCATAAGCCAAAGTAAGACAGATCACCAGAAGCGAAACGGAAAGGAACCTCAGAGATGATACGTGGAGCCTTCTCACTTTCCATCGTGTATATGCTGCTACAGCAGTTGAGTCCAGCAGTCACGGCACGGGGGCGGAGCCTGGACGCCTCGGGGGCGGAACCTCCCGGTGGCGACGCGCTGACGTCACGGGCGTGGGTCGGCCCAGCGCGTCGTCGACGGGGCGCGGAGCGGCCGGTGGCTTTTGTGGGCGGTCGGCGTCCGCTGCCTCTACTCTTCGCCCTCCGCCCCGACGAGGCGTCCGTGGCCAGGCTTCCGCAGTCATGCTGCGGTCGGCGCGGCTCGCGCAGCTCCTCTGAGTCCGGGAACGGCGACGAGCACGGCGGGCTCGGGTCGCCATGCCTACCCGTGAGTGTGGGGCCGGGTCGGGCGGAGAGCGCCTCCAGGAAGCGCCGGTTAGCCGGCTGGTCCCGAGTTAGTTTCGCTTCACTTTAGCGTCCCCTGGGTGGGGTGCGGGGGATCCCAGTGCGCACTCGGGGAAACTGAGGCGGAGCGTTAGGGGAACTGACGGCGGCCCGCGATGACAGCGTGGTAACGGGGATCCGTGCCACCCGGGCAGCCCGAGCTAACCCCGGAGGCCCAGAGCGACTTTGGAGAGCATTATGGCCCTGAGGTCGAGGCCTGTGCTGTCTTAGCGGGTCTGAGGGACCGATTGGAACCCTCCCCCAAGTGTGTCAACCTGATTACCCCTACGCTGACTCAAATGCAAGTTTGGTTTGCCTGCTTAGCGTGGGACCCGGGCTCTGCTAATATCAAGTGTCCTAGCTGTCCCCTAGGGATGCTGGATTTGGAGATGACCAGGTAGTGGAGGCTTTGAGAGATACACTGTACTACAAGGTACTACAGTGCTACCAGTGACCCAGATCCTCGCAGTGAGACTTTAAACCCAGTGGCCCGCAGGAATTACGTGCAAACCAGGTGGCTGATCCCCTACCGAGAGGCAGCACGATGCTGGTGATGGATTTGAGATTCTTTGCAAATAGGGCCCCTTGAAGTGTGCCCTGCTGCACAATCTTTACAGACTTGTGAATGTTTTTCTCAGAATTCCTAACTAGTTCTGTCTGACTTGATTTCTGTTAGACATACCGGGTACGTGATTTCTAGACAGTTTCAAAAATCCAATTTTTTTTTCTAGTGTTGGGGGAAAAATCTTAAGAATAGAATTATTTACTTCATAGTTGTGTCAAATCTTTGAGATCTTAATGTAAAGATCACTTTTAACCCCTCAAACACCAAGTGGGCTTTATTTTCACATTATTGTGCATTTCTTACTTTATTTTTCTGCTTGAGTGATTCAGCCTGGAGGAATACACTCTGCCTTCGAGTTCATGGCCATTATTGTCAGTTTCTATTTCTAATTTCATGTTCAGTTATTCAAATATTTGAAATTGGCACCTTAACAGTCTTTCTGAGAAAAGCAGAGAGGAGAAGGATAAACGAGGATCGTCTTGGTAAAATGTCCATCGACATTCTGTAAAATTCTCAACCTTTAGTTATGTGTTAATGTTATGTAGTTTCCTAGAGAGGATGCTGGAAACTTGTAGTATTAGGATGCTTGATTTATTTACTCTGTCCAGTGTTTTGATGAACTCAGGTGTCAAATTGCATCCCATGAGTGGAAGATCAAGGGAAAGGTTTTAGTTATGTGTTAACGTTATGTAGTTTCCTAGAGAGGATGCTGAAAACTTGTAGTATCAGGATGCTTGATTTATTTACTCTATCCAGTGAGTTTGATGAATTCAGGTGTCAGATTGCCTCCTATCAAGGAAAATGTTTATGTATCGTTCATATTTTTTGCTGTACATCTCCTGTAATTGAGGAGAGACTGATGTGGATAAGGATACAAATCTGGAAGAATAGCTCTTCTTTTTTTTTCTCTCTCTCTTGATGCTCAGAGCTCTCAAGATGTCTGTGATAGTTTGGTGGGCAAGAGTCTAGAGTAGACTGATAACATACTAAGTTTATAATAAGCAGACACTTCAGCACAATCATTGTATGATGAATGCTTTTAGGGAAAAAAAATGAGGTCTCATAAATGTTTTTGTTTTGTTTTTTTTAAAGATGTTAAGTGCTGGCGCTTATTTGCATGTTCAGCCAGTTGACTTTTAAGTGTTTTATGAAAAAGCAAATGCTTTTCTACAAAATTGAAGGGGTTGAAGAGGATCACTTTAGGATCTTGGGTTCTAGATTTCTGCAAGCAACTCGTAGATAAATAATTCTGCTGGTATTTATTATTTACTCGCAATTGAAATGGCTTTGATAGTAGAAGCCAGCTTCACATGCTGGAGCCATGCTGGCCAAGCAATGAATGTGGTTTAGTGAGCCAAGGACTCCTTGAGAAAGCAACTGGAAAGATGTTTGCCAGGAAGGTGCCAGCACAAAACAGTTCTTGTTCTTGTCATTCTGTGTTTAGTCTGTTGTTGGCTTAGTTTTCAAATCTAGATTTAATAGACTTTAATTTAAGCTATTAATTAAATAGACCTAAATTTAAAGGGTTTAAGTTGGAAGGAACATTGAGGTTTCTTAGTTCTTTTGTTTGTTTTGTTTATTTTTGAAGATCAGGAGACTAAGATTTTTTTTTCTTAAATCATTATTTTATTTTGCTTTTAGGCAAAGGCTCATTATGTAGCCCAGGATAGCCTAGGACTTGTAATCCTCCTGCCACTGCTAAAGAGTTTTAGAAGTTTACTACCATGTGTGGGTTTTAGTGAATTTTGATGGCTTCCATGAGGTCATAAATGGAGTAAAACCAGTACCTGAATGTATCGGCGTAAATAATTGCAAAGGCAGATATTAAAGAATATATATATATATATATATAATATATATATATATATATATAGTTTTAATATATAAACAAACTTACAGAACCAAGGTTCCAGCGTGGAGCCTTTTTCCCAGGAGGCAGGAAAAAAGGGAGTGGGAGGGCAACAAACCCCCGAGGCAAACCCCGCCCCCTAAAGGGGCTGACTTAACCCTGCACCTGAACACAGATCTGGCCTCCTTAGCCAGTGTCCGCATTGAACACAGATAGTGTTTATTTTCCCTTAGCTAAATAAAGTTGAACAAACTTTTTAATTTGTTTGCTTCAGTTACATTAAGACAAAAATGAAAACTTTATGAAAATTCTATGAAAATATCTGTAAACTTTAGAGAGATAATCGCATCATTTGCTTTGATTTAAGTCGCCACAGGAATCTGTGAAGAAGGCTATGAATTCTGCCTGTGTGCTAAGTAGACGCTCTGTTGTAAAGGCATGGATTTACATTAGCAAATTGCTTATATGGAAGGGGCTTCCTAGTTTATCCACATCTCATGCATGAAAACAGGTCCAACAAAACATGCTCTTCTCTATGAGAAATGGTTATGTATTAGCTGGGAGAATGCAGACACTGAACTGTTGTTGGCTATTAAACTATGCTTTCAGTGTGACTAATGCTTTCTCTCGGCATTTAGACATCAGCATTTAGACATCAGCATTGTTATCTAGTTAGGTTAGTTGGACTGTGGCAATATGGACATCTCCCTGTCCTTGGATAAGGCTAATTATATTTAACTGTTTTTCAGTGTCTTACAGAAGAAGTGCCAAATGAATCCTGAAGGATAGTTGATAGCTGAAGTAATTTTTCTTAGAAACACATTATATGTTGTGTTAACTTTTTGTCACTGTGACAGACCTGAGGAAGAAACAGTTGAGGAAAGATTTAATTTGTCTCTTGACTCCAGAGGTGTCAGTCCAAAGTCCACTGAATCCATTGCTGTGAGGCCTGTGAAAGGAGAGAAACAGCATGGCCAGCAAGCTTGGCAGAGGGAAGCTTCACGTGAAAGCTGCTCACCTCACAACAGCTAGGAAACAGACATAGAGGAAGCATCCAGGGATGAGATGTACCCCTCAGAGGCCCACCCCACAGTTACCTGCTTCTGCTTCTCAGTAATTCATTCAGTTGTGCCTTCATTGATGGATTAATTTTATTATTTACTTTAGTACATTCATGTTCTGTTTGCCACCAGTCCACTGTAGGTGGCATCATTCCTTGGGCAGGGGATACTGGCTTGATAAAATCAAGAAAGCTTTCTGAGCATAGCATGGCTTGATCACTCCCTGCTTTCTACACCCATATTCCCAAATATTGCTTATAAATGTTCTTTTATATTTAAAGTGGGGTATGATATATAAATAATTTACATTGATATAAATCTTGGTTTACTGTTACAAATTTAAGGTCAGTTTTGTCATATTCATATTTCTAATCTTGATTAAGGTATTGTGATTGTGTAGTTCATTTAAAAATATAATGTATAATTAGAAAATATAGGTTGTTAATGGATAATCATCAATAATAGTCAACCTTGTAGTCATGTTAGTTAGATTTTCTAGATATATAGAGATATATTTCAGTTAGATAGGCATTCTTCTTATCTTTCAAAGACTACAGAATATGGCATTTTAAATGTTTTAATAACTTAGGGCTTTTCATGACAATGAGACACGTATGCTTCTGGCAGCACCAATCTACTTTAAGAGGAAGATGGGCATCAAAGAGGCTCCTTAGCCATTTAGGCAAGAAAGTGCTCTTGTCTGGACTATTGCATAAACTGGTCATAAAAAACCCACAGAAAGATGACTACAAAACTTGCCTAAAGGTGAGATGGTCCTTCGGGGTTCCTGATTCATAAAAGAGTCTGTGAGACATTCTACAGGATACAAAAAAAAAAAGTGACTAAACTGTCTTTAAAATTTCCTGCTTCATGAAAAAGTCTGCTGGATACTATGGGCCTAAAGGCCAAAGATGGATGCCCCAATGGTACAAAAAAACTTTGGGTGACTGTCCAGACAGTGAGATGTCTCTGTCATTTCTAGAGTTTTGGAAGTTGCTTACAATGCACTTCCTGTTTACTTAGGTAATATTATATCCTTTTGGAGTCTCTGATGGAGTTGAAGAATGGATAGTTATAGTTATAGTTTTCCTTTGTTATGATAAAAGATAAAATAGATATAAATATGGTAGCTGTAATTCTTGCTTGATAACTGTTTTGTTATATGTACTTTTACTATGTTAAAGTAAAAACCTTTTTTTTTGTTTAAACAGAAAAAGGGGAAATGGTATAGGAGGATTTTCTGTTTGTGTGTTGCTTTCATTGGTTAAATAAAGAGACTGTCTTAGCCTTTTGATAGGGCAGCCCTTAGGTGGGCGGAGTAGACAGAACAGAATGCTGGGAAGAAGGGAATGTGGCAGATGCCATGCTTCTCCTGCCCAAGACGGACGCTGGTTAGATTCATGCCAGTAAGCCACAGTCAAGTGGCGATACACACTATTGAAAATGGGTTAGATCAGGATGTGAGAGTT